CGTCACTATCATCAGGGAAATGCAAACCAAAACTACAGTGAAATATCATTTCACACTTGTTAGGATGGCCACCACCGAAAAACAGAAAATAACAAGTGTTGGTGAGGATGCAGAGAAATTAGAACCCTTGTGCACTATTGGTGGGAACTGTGCAACCTCTATTGAAAATAGTATGAAGGTTCCCCAAAAAATTAAAACTAGAACTACAATATGATACAGCAATCCCATTTCTGGTCATATAGCCAAAAGAATCGACAACAGGATCTTGAGGAGATATTCACACACCCACATTCACTGCAGCCTTGTTCACGATAGCCAAAAGGTGGAAACAATCCACGTGTCCACTGACGAAAGAATGGATAAGGAAAATGTGGTATATATATGCAATGGAATATTATCCAACCCTTAAAAAGAATGAAATCCACCAGGTGTGGTGGTAAGCACCTGTTGTCTCAGCTACTTGTGAGGCTAAGGCAGGAGGATCGCTTGAGGCCAGGAGTTCGAGGTCAGCCTGGGCAACATATCATGATCTCGTCTCTACAAACTAAAAAGGAAAAAAGAAATCCCATCATACACTACAACTTGGATGAACCTTGAGGACATCATGCCAAGTGAAATAAGCCCCTCACAAAAATCAACTGCATGATTTCACTTACATGAGGTATCTAAAGTAGTCGCATTGTTAGAAATAGAAAAAGGAATGGTGGGTGCCAGGGGCTGAGGGGAGGTGAAAATGGAAGTTGTTCAGTGGGTGTAGAGTTCAGTTTTGCAGGATGGAAAAGTTCTAGAGGTCTGTCATACAAAAATAATGTGCATATAATTGACACTGCTGTACACTTTAAATGGTTAAGATGGTCAATTTTATGCTGTTTTTTACCACAAAAAAATAAATAAATGAATTGAAAAAGCTTAGCTGTAAGCAACGACTCACAAACATCAATAATAGGCCAGCAGCACGGACGTGGGAGGAACGTGGGCCTTGCAGCCAGCAGAGCAGGTCTCGGGCCGCCGCCCTGCTGACCGTTTGGTTCACTTCGTGCCTTCTAGTCGCTACTGGCTTACGTGGAGTACGTCAGGGAAAGGCCCACTCTGCACCTAGGGGAAGTAGACTGAATTCATTCTTGGCTGTTTCCACAGCGTTGGAATGACAGGAGAAAAACAGTTTGTTCCTGAGTCAAACCACAGCTCTGCGTGGTTTGGTGCCCAGGAGCCTGACGCAGCGACAACACGGGTGGGCTTCTCCTGCCACTTCCCTCCGAAGAGTGACTCGCAGGTTGCCAGCACACCAGGCTCTGGGCTCGGGCAAGCCTCCCTTTCCCTGGCTGTCCCCACGTGTGCACAGTCAGCAGCCCGCCCGTGTCATCAGTCCAGGGACCCTCACACGTGACGAGAGCCAAGGACTGGACTCTGAGGAGGGAAGCCCTGGCCCCCAAGCTGCAAGGGCAGTGGGAGGGCAGGAGAGGCGGCCACGTGAATCCCGGAGGCGGCTGGGGAGCAGCCCCCAGGCGAGGGGAGTGGATGAACGTCCTGGCCACGCAGCAGCCACTGAGAGAGTCCAGCCGGGTCTGCAGAGTGGGCATGGGGCTCTAGGCTCGGCTCCGCCCTCCTGCCAGACAGCGGCTGGCGTCTTCATCCCCGAACTGTCGTCTTCCATAACAAGCACGCAGCAGGCATGAGGGCGGGATGTGCTGAATGGATTCCTCTAGCTTTAGGGGCTCTGAGGCTCAAGGACAAATTGGCACAAAGGTGGGCCACCCTCTCCAGGTGGCTGCAGTGGGACTCAGCCCCTGCCCACTGCCCCATAAACCCTCCTTTTGAACTCACAGCCTTGAAAGGGCATGTGAAGGTGGGAACACAGTAATCCAAGGTGTGCATTAATTTGATCTAACAAACACAGCCTTGTCCCCCCCCCACTGCCACCATCCCATTGACCTAATATTTGTAATTTATGTGGCAGCAAAGTGGGCAGAGTCCAAAGGGTTTGTTTTGCTGAGAAGCACTCACAGGTCACACAATATGAAGACGTTACTTCCTCAGAAGAGCCTCACCACAGAAATCTGGGGACAAAAATCCTTTTCAAAGAGATGGTCCCACCAGTGCTTCCTTCTTTCCTGGGCATGGACAGGGAGGGGGCAGGGGGCAGGAGGACAGGACATCCGTGCTGGCTTCCCCACTGCCTTTGCCTTCCCTGGCCAGGGCAGGGGGAGTCCAACTGCAGAGGGGAGAGACAAATTATTATTTAAAACCCACACCCACCATGGCAGCTTTTGCAGACAGCGTGACTCAGCTATACAACAGGGTGACAGGGCGGGGCTCTTCCAGCTTCCATTTCAGCTGAGCACCACACAGCAGAGTCCCACCCCCACAGTGTCAGTGAGACAGATCACCGAGGCAGATTTTAGACAGGTGGGCTCAGGAAGCTGGCCCACACTTAGAACTCTCTCACCCTCTCCATGGGTACAAAAGGAATTTTATCTCTGGAACAGGCTGTGCTGTGAATCGCACCGCCAGCCCAAGGGCTTCACAGAGCCCTGGGAAGGTGGCCCCTCCGGCTGGAGGGTGGGAGGGCCAGGCTCCGACTCCAGCTGGGAAATCAGGAAGCCGGAGGTCCAGGAGAAGAGCGCCGAGCAAGGGGTGCATCAGTGTTCCCTGAGGACCAGATGTGGGCCCGTGAGAGAGAACGTCGGCTCCAGGATGTCCGAGGGTCAGCAGGGCTGCCTAGAAGGCCAGAGAGATCTCTGTGCCAAGAGACTGCGTTCTCCCAGCTGCCGGAGGTCTCACAAGGGGCTGCCCAGCCTGGAGAAGCACGGGCCTGCTCAGGGGAACTGCAGTCAAGGAACTCGCAGGAAGCTCTGAAGAGCCTCCCAAATGCCCGTCAGGCCCAGGGGGCAGGAAGCCAGCTCCCAGCAGAGCCAGCGGCAGTGAGGCGGACGCTCCCTCCCTCCTCCAGCACCTGCACCATCCCGCAAGGGGGCAGAAACTAAGAGAAAGCCACTCATGTCCCCAAAAGCTGGGCCAAGCTGAAAGAGAGGCGAATACATGTCCCCAAATTGAGTTCATATCTCAGACTGGACATTCTGATTACAGAACCGAGGCTTAAACTCTATAACTACGTTCTATTACCACAGAGTGGACAGAGAAAATGTGAGCAAGACAGGGTTTTACGCAGAGGCAGAGCAAGATTACCTTCACTGAGTGACCTTGAAAGGGGTCGAGGGACAAAGTTAAAGGTACAATTGATCACAGCCCACCAGCCGTGCATCCCACGTCCTGGCTATACTATCAGTGGGCACAAAATCGCTGTTCCCCTTGCAGAGACCGAGAGCAGAGAGATGCACTCCAGAGCCCTTCTCCCCTTCTGCCGTGGATGCAGAGTCGTAGCTGGGCAGAGGATGCTGACCAGGCTGCATCCCAAGCTCTGTGTGGCTCGTGAAGCCATGCAACTAGGTTCTTGTGGGTGGGATGTGAGTAGTGGCAATGCGTGTAACTCCCGGGGCTGGTCCTGTGGGCACCAGCGTGGACCCTTCCACACTCTCCCACTGACGGTTCTCCAGGCCAGGGGTGTGGGACCACCAGACAGAGGGAACTTGGGTCCTCGAATGATTTCATGGCGTGGAGCTGGACTCCCCATCCCCAGACCCATTACAGGAAAGAGAAATGTGCTTCTCTGCTTTTGAGATATTGCATTGTGGCTTACTTTGTTATAGCAGCTTCATCTTTACCTTGTCAAATACAAGGGAGAGCTGTGAAATCTGGAGAAAGTGCCTGTTGCACAGCACATCAGTGGACCACAGGACTTGCAAAGGAAGGCCCAGAGTTGAGTTCCTAGTTAGGGACTGCTGAATAGCTCTATCTAATACAATGGGAGTTTTTCTAGCCTTGCTAGAGATGGAAAGTGGTGGTAGGCACAGGGGAGAACAAACATAACAGACAGCTGCATTTTGAGTAATTGCAAAGGCTGAGGAGCTTTTTTTAAAGGAAAAATAAGGCTAATATTCAGTATTAATCATACATGAATCTTGGTGCAACCTCCCTATTATCTCTGAGTTTTCAATAAAAGTCCACCTCTGTCCGGGCGAGGTGGCTCATGACTGTAATCCCAGCACTCTGGGAGGCTGAGGTGGGAGGATCGCTTGAGGTCAGGAGTTCGAGACAGCTTGAGTAAGAGTGAGACCCCATCTCTACTAAAAATAGAAAAAATTAGCAGGGGTGTGGTAGTGCACACTTGTAGTCCCAGCTACTGGGGAGGCTGAGGCAGGAGGATCATTTGAGCCCAGGAGTTTGAGGTTGTGAGCTAGGCTGATGCCACTGCACTCTAGCTTGGGTAACAGAGCAAGACTCTGTCTCAAAAAAAAAAAAAAATAAAAGTCCACTTCACAGAGCTGCTTCATGTACATGATTGCTTTCTTTTGCTTATGCTGTTAGGATAATTTCCTAATTTATTAATTATGGGAGTTTTCAACTATACATGAGGGAAAATAGCATGGCAAAGCCCGATGTACCCATGACCCAGCTTCAACAATTACCAACGCATGGCCAATCTAGCTTCGTCTCTATGCCCACCCATTGTTTTCCTCCCTGGACTACTTTGAAACAAATCCTTCTTGGTGGAAGTACTCAACACCACTTATGAAGGAGCCTTGCCAAAAGAAATGAAATTGGAATCCTATCAACTCTTCCAGTTGTTTGATTTCTTTTGGCAAGACTCCTTCATAAGTGGTGTTGGAAATTTCCATCAGGAGACATATAATGCCCAACTCGGTCCCATTTTATGATGTCAGTACTATTGATGATCATTGCCCACATCCATTATATCATTAGGGATTGCAAAATAGTGTAATTCTAATAATATTGTTTCTTCTGTATCTATTAGCTTCTATAAAGAGAAACTTCCTTTTGTCAATTATTTGGTTACTCTGAAGAACAGTTAGTATGATAAGGGCAGGATAGAAAAATTACTTTCCTTTTATTCACCACCTTTCAAAATAATGCATAGAACCTAAAGGTTATGAATGAGGTTTATTACTATTATTATCATTATCATTATGAACTCCTTATTTAGACACATTGACTGTATTCGACATGGCGCAGTTCTTCGTCTTATTGATGGTCAGGTTGTCTTACATGTGACCAGCAGAAGCCAACTTGACATGACCTCACAGCCTTGGAGAGTTTCCTTGCCTGGAAGGGAATAAAACAGACAGATCTGTTTCTCATGTTCGGGTCAATGTCAGGGCAAAATAATGAAGCAGTTTCAAAAAAGCACAGCATAAAACGATAATTTGGCAAAGACAGAAACCTAGCCAGAGGTAACAAAAAACAAGCATAAACAGGAGTTCACAAAAACCTTGATGAAGGCATTTGATTTCCCACGTGACACGAGACAGAAAATAGGGCCAATCTTATCTAGATGGTACAGGGAAAGCGCCCACCTCCATCAGCTGGTTGATGTAGCACATTTGTCGTGGTGGCGATATTTTTCTCTCACGTTTTGTCCATCCATTCTCACCACACCTTACCCTCCTGGGATGTCCCTCTGGTGTCTCGAACTCAAGGTCCTACCACAAACTCTTTGTCTAACATCTCTTCCAGAAAGCATACAGGATCCTCATTCTCAGCGAAATACATACATGTTGATTCTATCGTTCTACATCTTGCTTAATTAACTGATGTGCCCTAACAACTCTACTTAACAGTCAAAATAATAATAACCCTTCAAGAAAGCAGGATTATCAAAGAAGCCTGGCAAAGTGGTAAAGCTAAGAGTCATTCCTCCTAGATTCCAGTCCAGGACTGCCAATAATTTACTGTGGATCCTGGAAAGGCACTTTCCTTCTTTGGGCCTCAGTTTCCCTACCTATTTAAAAGGATTGGACTCGTGGTGTCAAAAGTCTATTCACTTGGAGCATTCAGTGATATAGATGAAAAGATTTGGGGGCCGGGTGTGGTGGCTCATGCCTGTAATCCTAGCACTCTGGGAGGCTGAGGCAGGTAGATCATTTGAGCTCAGGAGTTCCAGACCATCCTGAGCAAAAGCAAGACCTGTTTCTACTAAAAAAAAAAAAAAAGAAAAATAGAAACAAATTAGCCGGACAACTAAAAGTATATATATAAAAAATTAGCTGGGCATGGTGGTGCGTGCCTGTAGTCCCAGCTACTCAGGAGGCTGAGGCAGAAGCATCGCTTGAGCCCAGGAGTTTGAGGTTGCCGTGAGCTAGGCTGACGCCACGGCACTCACTCTAGCCTGGGCAACAGAGTGAGACTCTGTCTCAAAAAAAAAAAAAAAAAAAAGATTTGGAGAGGTAAAAAGCATCATGTAAGTAAATATACTTAACTACACAATATACATTTGAGTCATTTTTTTTTTCTTTAAGCCATGTTATCAGAAAATTTAGAGAGGATTCTTTGGGTAACTAAGGCATATTTAAATATATACCCTGTATATTCAAATCCTTGAATATTACCAAGAAGGAATTTTTGAATCTAAATTGGAATTATTTGATAACCAAAATACATGCATGGTCCATTAACATGCAAAATTCTCATAAGATGCAGGCTTGCTCAACAGCAACACTGTGGAATGGCATAAATGGAACTTTTGATTAAGTAATTATTTGCTTCCTATCACTTAGGTCTTCCTGGAAAAATTTCAGTTATTTGAGTTGTGTCTTATCATCAGGAATCCAAGCAGAAAAGTGGCAGCATTTTTTCAGAAATGGATTGATCGCAAATGGCCATGCATTAGCCCCTTTCCCCGGCTGCGCAGAAACAGGCCACTGTAAATCACTCGATGGGTATTTACTGTGCTCCACCCACGTTTTCAGCCCTGGATGCCCTGGAGATGTTGAAGAAATGTATGTGACACTGAAGAGCTTACAACCCAGTTAGGGGTAGAAGATAAATAATACACAGGCCGTGGCAGGAAACAAAACAAGGAGTGGGCTGAAATAGTAAACTGCACGGCACTGCCCTTGAGCACTTCGAGTCTTCAGAGAAGCGATGGCCGGAGGAGCCAGAGGGCCAAGGCAGGCTCCATGGAAAAGTAAATAAAACCCGAATCCTTTTTCATCTTTTCTCAAAAAGGAACCACTTATTTTCTTGGCATTATATGGGATCAAGTAGAAAATGCCAACACTAAAAAAGTGAATGTTTCCTCAAAACCCCGCACCCAAAACATAAACACTGTTAGTAGGTCGGAACTGGCACACACGCCCACAGAAGACTGTGCCAGCCGCCCACCCAAACCATTCACCTCTGTTCTCTCTATCTCTGTTTTTATTGGAGTAAAAAATAGTCAACATGAGCTCTACCCTCTTGACAAATTTTTAAGTGTACATTACAGTATCATTAACTATAAGCACAATGTCATATAGTATGTCTCTAGAATTTATTCATCTTGTGTCACGCAAACTTTACACCCAATGAACAGCAGCTCCCTTTCCTGCCAGCCCCTGACAGCCACGATTCTACTTTCTGCTTTGATGACTTTGACTACTCTAGATACCTCATATAGGTCAACTCATGCTCTATTTATCCTTCTATTACTGGCTTCTTTCACTGAGCACAATGTCGTCAAGGTTCATCCATGTAGCATATGACAGAATTTCTTTCTTTTTCATGACTGAATAATATTCTATTGTATACCACATTTTCTTTATCCATTCATTCATCAATGGACATTTAAGTTGTTTCTGTTTCTTGGCTACTGTGAATAATGTTGCGATGGATATCGGAGTATAAGTATCTCTTTAAGATCCTGATTTCAATTCGTTTGGATAAATACCCAGAAATAGGATTACTGGATCATATAGTAGTTCTATTTTTAATTTTTTTGAGGAACCTCCATACTGGTTTCCATAGCAGCTGTACCATTTTACATACCCAACCAATAGAACATCTCCCCAACATTTGTTATCTTTTTTTTAATAATAGTCATCTCAATGGGTATGAGGTGATGTCTCATTGTGGCTTTGATTTGCATTTCCCTAATGATTAGAGATGTTGAGCATCTTTTCATATGCTTGTTGGTCATTTGTATGTCTTCTTTGGAGAAATGTCTATTCAAGTCTTTTGCTCATTTTTTAATCAACTTTTTTTCTTTGCTATTGAGTTGTTGGAATTTCCTGTATATTTGGGATATTAACATCTTCTCAGATGCATAGTTTGCAAATATTTTCTCCCATTCTATAGACTGCTTTTCATTCTGATTATTTTCTTTGCTGTGCATAAGCTTTTTAGTTTGATGCAGTCCCACTTGTGTGTTTTTCCTTTGGTGATTTTGGTGTCATAACCAAGAAATCATTGTCAAGACCAATGTCAAGAAGATTTTCCCCTATGTTTTCTTCTAGAATTTTTACAGTTTCAGATTTTACATTTAAGTCCATAATCCATTTTGAGTTGATTTTTGTGTATAGTGTAAGAAAAAGGTCCAATTTCATTTTTTGGCCTATGGATCCAGTTTTTCCAACACCGTTTGTTAAAGAGACTGTCCTTTCCTCTTTGTATCTTCTTGGCACCCTCATCAAAGATCAATTGACTGTATAGGTGTAGGTTTACTTCCAGGCTCTCTACTCTGTTCCACTGGTTTATATGTCTGGCTTTATGCCAGTACCATATTGTTTGATTACTATAGCTTTATAGTATGTTTTGAAATCAGGAACTGTGAGGTTTCTAGCTTTGTCCCTTCTCAACATTGTTTTGGCTATTCAGTGTTCTTTTTGTTTCATATGAATTTTAGGATTTTTTTTCTATTTCTGTAAAAAATGCCACTGAGATTTTGATAAGGATGTCATTGAATCTCTAGATTGTTTTGGGTTGTATGAATATTTTAGCAATATTATGTCTTCTAATGCATGAACGTAAGCTATTTTTCCATAAACTTGTGTCTTCTTTCATTCTCCTCCCTTTTTTCTTATGAGGATAAATTTGATTTTGTTTGGGCAATGGGAGACCAAATGATTTCAGTGGTCCCTTCCCAGCCCCAAAGGACAAACATAAACTAGTTTCATACACCCTGGTAATTTCTGGTGCTAAAGACTTGGGCATGTGATACAATCCTCATTAATTTACATAAGAGAAGTCTGCTAGGGGCCCTTAAGAAAAATTTTCCCTTCTTAATAAAAGAGAAACACAAGAAGAGATAGTTTTTCCTGACTTTGGACACCGCCATATGAGGAAAGTGAGCCCAGAGGGGCTACAGCGACCTTCTAGCCTTTAACGAAGGTCAAAGGAATTGCTGAACAGGCATCTAAGAGCTCTGACATTCTTAACCTGGCAAATTATCCAGCCCTGGAACCAACCATGCTCTGACTTCCTGTCCTAATAAACTTTTCTTAATATTCAAGACACTTTTGATTAGGTATCTTGTTACTTGCAGCAGTAAACTAACTAACTGAACACCCAAATTTTCTGTATGTGAATATATCAATTATATATAAATGAGAATATATTATGCCACATAAGGTGCCCTGTGACCCACTTTGTTTAATTTATTAATATGTCATGGGTCTCTTCATGTCATAACAGAAAGCTTTCCTCATCCTTTTATGTCACCTACATCTGAAATGGTACAATAAATGTGACAGAAACCAACAGCTCCCATTCCAGTTCAGAGCAAGATGGAGTAAACACAGTATGGCATGTCTCTCCCATTGAATGAAGTTATAAAACCTGAACAGAGTGCCAGTAGCAGTTATTTGAGGACTGCAAAAAGTAAATAGGAGCAGGTGAATTAAGGAATACCAGAATTCAAAGTACTGCTGAATTGGCGTAAGCTTCCTACTTTCCTCCAGTTGTCCTGGCCTGTACTCAAGGCAGCCCAAAATCCAGAGGTGGATGTCAGGACACCACAGAAAGAGCACCAGGGAAAGCCCTGTAGTTCTGGCTTAAAGAACTGAAAAGGGTCCTCTTAATGCTCAGAAAGAGTAAGAGAAGTCACCCATCTTTTTTTTTTTACTTTTTTAATTCTCTACTCTCACATATTCCAGCTGCTGCTGCCAGAGAATCTCACAGTAGCGGAGGCAGTGACAGAAGTTGGCACCAAGGCCCCACGGCCACCTAAAACCCTCAAATAGGGGAACTCATCCCTCTGTTCAGAGAAGCTGTGAATCCAATAGGGTGGGGAAAATTCCCCTTGTTTTGCTTTTGGATTTTTTTTTTCTTTTTCTTTCTTGTTTTTTTTA